CGTTAGGCTCTTACGGTGTGGTGGTGACGTCTTCAGTGATATGGGCAAGTCTTTGGGTCCAAATCTGAGTCTTTGGTACCAAATCTTGAGGCCCTTTTAAAAACAAGTTTTTTTCCCCCAGAAAAAGGGAAGGGTGGGTGGCTTCTGAGTTGCAAGTCAAATCTGAATCATTGGGGGGGAAAACACGCCCCATCTTGAGTTGAGTCCAAGACGAGTCACTGGTGTAATTTAAGTCTGACTTGATGGCAAGTTTCATGACTCGAGTCCTATTTATGTTGATCTTGCGGATGATCGTGAGCAGAGAAATTCATTGTACTCCACATGTTGTAGCTTGGCCTGTATTTTGAGCTGTGATCTTTCTTTGTTGTTTAGTCGTTAAGTCGTGTCCGACTCTTCGTGACCCCATGGACCAGAGCACGCCAGGCCCTCCTGTCTTCCACTGCCTCCTGGAGTTGGGTCAAATTCATGTTGATCGCTTCGGTGACCCTGTCCAACCGTCTAGTCCTCTGTCGTCCCCTTCTCTTCTTGCCTTCACACTTTCCCAACATCAGGGTCTTTCCCAGGGAGTCTTCTCTTCTCATGAGATGGCCAGAGCATTGGAGCCTCAGCTTCAGGATCTGTCCTTCCAGTGAGCACTCAGGGTTGATTTCCTTTAGAATTGATAGGTTTGTTCTCCTTGCAGTCCAGGGGACTCTCAAGAGCCTCCTCCAGCACCACAGTTCAAAAGCATCAATTCTTCGGCGGTCATCCTTCTTTCTACCCGTGCATGATTTGTACTTGACATACTTGGCCACCCTGTGGCAGCCTCCTTTTGTTGCTCTCACAGCTTATGATCTGAGCAACTTTATCTGAAGAAGGGCGAAATCCAGATTGTGGAAGAGTCAAGGGATAAAGATTGCTTCGCTTAGTCTCCAGAAGCGGGGAAGACTTTGCTTATTCAAATCTCCAGTAGGAGACTATGTGGGCCAATTAAATCCCAACCATAACACCCCCCCCAATTAGGGGTTCTGAGGTTTCGTGAGGTACTGTCCCACATACTTTTACACACCACCGAGTTCAAGGACTAGAAGCTTTGTCCATCTTCGTCGTTATGCGATTTCGTTGTAAAATGAAGCACTCGTCTTGCGAGGTACCACTGTATTTATGTGGGACAAATCTTTTTTGCTGAATTGAAAAAGCATATGAAGAATCTTTCTGAACGAGACCAAAGGCATATTCGTCTGCCCTGTAGTGTGTGTATGTTATCCACTGTGATGCCTTCGTGAAGTCTACAAAACAGGACATGGGGACAAGAGTATGTTTTTGCTCTTGAATATTTGAAGGAGTGCTTTTAGTTTGGAAACTTACATAAATTAGCAGGTATGATGAGTCATAAACGTCTTTCATTATTCTAAAAAAAGAAAAACTCTTAAGGAGAAAGGTTTCTTCTGTTTATACCTCTAAATGGAAGTCTGTTCCCATACTTTTTCAAAAACCAGGAATGCAAGCAAGGGGCATTGCCGATAAATACATTTTATGCTCTAAATGATTGAGAACAGATGTCTCAAAAGGATAGTTGGCTTCTGAGTCAGAGGGGCTCTGTTCCAGACAGGTACTTTAGCACTCTTGATGGAGGAACATTGCTTTTATCTTGCAGGAAAGCCAGAACGTTTGCTGTGATCTCTACAGGCTAAGCAAATCGGATACATTTTGCAAATATTTTGCTATTTGCAATAGTTTTCAAATTGCTGGGAAGGTCTGCAGTATATCTTGTTTAAAATCAGTGATGGATCCATGGAAAAGGCATCTCTATTTAAGCAGCTTTTAAAAGAACAATATTGGTAGTACTGTTTCTTTCTTTTAATGAACATGGTGAATATCACGTCAAAATTGTTGGGTGCAGTGTGTGTCTTCATGGCAGTCTATTACAGGAAGAGCAATGGAGAATCTGGTGGTAGTTTAAAGTTGTACTTAATATAGGTTTTCCAAAGTGACCATCATGATGATGGTAGTGATTGTGGGCTTCTACCCTGTTTCTCCTAAAATAAGACCTAACCTGAAAATAAGCCCTAGTAGGATTTTTCAGGATTCTCGTCATATAAGCCCTACCCCCAAAATAAGCCCCATTTAAGTGAAACCCCGCCCTTCACCCTTGGGCAGCAACCTGAAGAAGGTGACACAACTGTATGTGAATAAATGTAGGTAGTTGCATGTGGAAAAAATTAAAGCATCCCTTGAAAATAAGCCCCATTTAAGTGAACCCCCGCCCTTCACCCTTGGGCAGCAACCTGAAGAAGGTGACACAACTGTATGTGAATAAATGTAGATAGTTGCACGTGGAAAAAATTAAAGCATCCCTTGAAAATAAGTCTGAATGCGGGGTTTTTTGGAGCAAAAATTAATATAAGACCCTGTCTTATTTTCGGGGAAACAGGGTAACAGTACACACCAGGAAGTGATGATTGATTGAAGTCTCTCTCTTTTTTTTAAATCTTCATTTATGCTGTGAAAACCTGAGCCTTTACCTGTCACAACACAACAAAATGTACATAGGTTTCGTGTTGATTTCTTCACAGAACCCCCATCCCTGAAGTTCTTTGACAGTGTAGGTCTATTTATACTTCATCTGCATCTTCATCTTATTTTCTAAGGTACATTTTGTGTGTGGGTGTCGAAAGGAGAGTGACAACTGGATGGGCAAAAGTAAAGCGTAGCTAGCATAGAAGGCAAGATGGCTTTGTTCAGGCTCTTTCGTAAAGAGTCCAGTCTTCTGTGTTGCAATGGTTATTGTGATCAGTTTGTGATGTAGGTGTCAGTTTTCCACTTAACTATGCAAAAGTTCTTGGAAGTGTTGTATGTGTTTCAGCTACTCAGGGGGAAAGAGTCTTTCCATATTGCTTTGAAGGTTTTAGTTGCTGGGTACAGCTTGGTCAGTAAAAACTGAATTTGTCAATAGATGAAAGAGGAGGTTAAAATGCCAGCTGAGTCTGCACCGGTCAGCAATGAAATGCTAGATGACTGGCGTAAGAACACTGGGAGGCTGCTTCAGGTGGCAAAAATTACTTTGGATTTCCATGTGCCTGAGTCTGCTGGAAATTACAGCTCCCTCCCTTCTTATACACTGATTTTTTACCTAAGCAATTGTAATAGAAGGTTTTCCAACTGCTAAAGCCTTTTATGTTTTACGCACCTGGTGGCAGTTGTTTGTATCACGCAGAAGGAGAACTTTGTAGCTCGCTGGCACAGCGAGATGCTGGCACAGCGAGACGCTGTGTTTACAGAACATCACTGTTAGCTATGTGAAGGCCCGAGGGGGAAAAAAACTGGAAAATCAGAGAAGCAGCCAGAGTTTGCTCCATTTTATAAAATAAGGACAGAATTCAAATTTTTCCATTTTTCTGGAAGGATTGGAAAATTGAGAGGGGATGTTAAAACAATACATTTTCTCTTTGGAGCTGAGTAAAGTGTTTTAAAAGGTGAGTTTTACTCTCTGAAAATAGCAGGTTCTTTGTAAGTAGGTTGGATTCCTACAAGGAGATCTGCAAGCAGGATCTGAAGGCCTTACTGTAGGAATGGACCTCAACAGATGGGAAACCTTGACCTCTCTGAGCATTCAGCCTGGAGGCAGGCGGTGCATCACGGCCTCTCCCAATTTGAAGAGACCCTTGTCCAGCAGGCCGAGGCAAAGGAAGTCACAAAAGCAGCAAAATCAGGGAGCTGGACAGGGGACAGATTGCATTTGTCTCCAGTGTGGAAGGGATTGTGTTACTCTCGAATTGGCCTCCTCAGCCACGCTAAACGCTGTTCCAAGTCCTCCATACAGAGCACGTTACCATAGTCTCTCGAGACTAAAGGATGCCTAATCTAATCATAAGTAGGAAACTGTATAGAATTAGATAATTAATAGTATTGTGTATGCTTCGTATACTCATATCCAAAATGCACTGCTCTCTGTAGTGGGCGCTGTCGTTTTCATGTATGAAGCATACGGGATTGGCTTTAGTTGCTTATGGATGTGGCAACCTTTGTTCTAATTTGTTTTGTTCTGCTCAGATAATACATTCTCACAAAATTTGTGGTTTCTGTTCTTATTTTTTGGCTCGTTTCTCCTCCTGGGGTAAACCCTAAAATACAGGTCCTTAGTAGAGATGGGAACAAACTACTGGTTCATTGTGCCAGTTTGTATACCGGCTGAACAGGGCTTGATGGTTTCAGCCTTGCCTCCACCAGCAGCTGCCCACTCAGAGGCAGCTGCTGGAGGAGGTGGGTCAGAGAAGCCGAGACACTGCTTCTGAGTGGGTGCTGGCTGGCAGAGGCAGGGCTGGAAACCGCCAAACACCTGTTCAGCTGCTATACAAGCCACCATGAAACCAGTGGCTTGTGCCTATTTCTAGTCCTTATATGTCATTTAGTGGTAACATTTTTTACAGCCCTGGGTTTCTTGGAAAAATGTTCACAGTTCTGCTAGCCGTTTTGTGATAGTAGAACCTGGAGTCGTCCGATGAAACTAAAGGGTGAACTAATTAGGCAAGTTAAAAGAAAGGACTTCTCCAGAAAACTCATACTAAAAATGCGAGGTTCGTTGCCACAAAACCTAGGAGTGCGTGTGTCAATGCAGATGGTTTTAAGTGTGATGGTCTTGGAGGTTAAGCCTATCCGTGGGCACCAATCCAGAAGGCTGAATGCAGCGCGGGATGGTATTTCATGTTTTAAAAAAATGAAAGCGGGAGAGTCCTCAGTTCTCAGCTAAAGTATCTTTCTTCATCTTGGCCCAGCCAGCCTGCCCTTCTTTAAAAAAAAAAGTCATTGTTCCCTTTTGGGTCAGTTCTGCTTTGAGAAATAAAGAAATATAATAAATAGTAATAAAAATTCAGCTTCCATTTGTGCTAAAATAAAGTGTCACATGGATGTCCTTCATCCGTCAGTTCTCAGTTCAGTAGTTCTTCTTTCTGTGCATCAGCTGTGCTTCTTCCTTGTCCTAGATGCAACGCCTAACAGTTGGTGTTTCCCTCTCTTTTCAGATTTTCTATTTTGTACATACATTGTTTTGTATATACTGTATATGATGACGTCGGTGGGCAGTGAACGTCCTCGGGGCGCTCGAGACAAAGTGCAGATTTCGACCGCGCAGCTGACACAACCACAGAAACCAGTTGTACAGGTAAGGACCCGTGCGTCTTCATCCTGCACATACTCCATGAAAGGCAAGAATTAATGAAGGCCAAGCAGTCATCCTGGAAAGCTACCTTTCTATTACTCCGTGAGTCATGTACACAATCAGGGAGGCCATGGAAGACAGAAGGGCCTGGTGTGCTCTGGTCCATGGGGTCACGAAGAGTCGAACACGACATAACGACTAAACAACAACAACATGTACACAGTCACACTCATCTAGGGATGTTCCGAGCATTTGGACAAGGGCAGCTCGAAAGACAAGCAGTTTTGTTCAAATGCTCACAAACACCTTTGAACCTGAAGGTGCTCTTTTGCTTACCTTGCGGTTGGAAAAGGTGGTGAGCCCATAATAACAGCAGGCTCTCTGGAAAGCCCCGGCAGAGTGTGGAGGGCCGGGTGTACCTTTTTCTCAGCCAAAGGTAAGTTGCTTGGCTGAGGAAATAGCAGGAGCTTGCGTTCTGAGCATCTATGAGCCTTTTGTAAGCACGCAAAGGGTACGACTCACAAAGGACTTCAGCTTTCACAACCATTGAGCTCCGTTGCTGAGAGAAGCTCCTATGCCTTATCATGACACAGTCCTGTGTCCCCAAGAATAAAAATTACCGTATTTTTCCATGTATAAGACGCCCCCGTGTATAAGACGCGCTCCACTTTTCTAATCCAAAATTAAGTGGGGCTTAGCAAGTCCAGGGGGAAAGGGATCAAAGTGCTGCAGAATTGCTTTGATTCCTGCTTTCCCCTCCACTTGTTTTTGTACTCTTCTCAGCTTACTTCCATGTATAAGACTACTATCAATTTTTAGTCTAAAGGTTTTAGACAAAAGTATAGTCTTATACATGGAAAAATACAGTAATTCACATGCGGCAGGGCCCCAACAGTGTCACGTACGAATTATTTGTTCACCGTCAGGACATTTCAGCTCTTCCCCCCCCCCCCCCCGGTGTCAAAGTGATGACTGTAGGATAAATGATTTGAAAGGGAGGGAGCTGTATCCATTAATGACAGTGTGCATCTGGAGGCTTAAACCGTGTTAATAACTTGGTTTTTGCCACAGTGTTATGTTCCACTCATGGAAAAGGCTTCAGGAGTTAACCTAGAGACAAAATCCGGAGCTGGAGTCCCGAAGGCAGCTCGTGTCGTTCTGCCAACTCCTGCGACGTTGCTGGAACCAGTCGTATTGGCTCTTGCCTTTCCATTGGACCATTTCAGCAATGTGGAGAGGGGGGATCTGCTGCTTGGGTAACAGCTTATCCTCCATATTACTTTACCCAGGCTTCATGCTCTGGAGAGGACACTCCTTGATTCAGAGCATGTTACCATAGTCTCTCTAGACTGAAGGATGCCTATGTATAACAGAAGAAGTTTTCTTTGGGAAAAATGAACTCCATACAACCTCCTTTAACCAGAGGTCAGAACTTGTTGCTTTAGCACTTCAGAGACTTAAGCTTAATGACTGCAGAATGAAAAAGAGATATTTTGCATTAGCTAATTATTCCGTGTTACATTAGTGTTTATATAATCAACATTTTGAAAATGTATTAACAGTGTAACACAGTTGTCTCCTTCTGTGTCAAATTGTACTTGGTTGCTAAGCCATGTATACTGAGAAATCTTTGATGGTGTTACAAGCCTATTTGTTTTTGTTATGCATGCTAAAAATTGCCATGAGTGAAGTTAACTGTAAGTGAGCATCTAACCAGTTGCGCTGCTGTGCATGTCCCGAAAATTAGGTAGCATTTCCAAAATCTTTGTCATCGTCATACCAAAAAGTATAAAATAAGAAGGTATTATAACTGTATTATCAGTCTCTGCATTTGCCGTTAACACTTTCAGGTTTGTGTTTCCCTGTGTAGGTTGCACTCCCCTTTGGCTTTTTTAAAAACAATTCAGATCCTCAGTCTTCACAACTCAGCAGACTGTATAACAGCCTTGAGGGTGGCTTGTATTTCACCTTGGGGTAAAGAAAGTCCTTTGAAGCGACAGTAGCGTGACTCTGCTTGACTAACGTTGCCAAGAAATTGTGTGATCCATGCAGGAGGATGTGAATAGCAAGATCCAGCTCCTGTCCCATAGTGCATGTCTGGGGGGTGGGGTGTGCTTTGAGGTCAGTCCCTGTGTGACAGTCCAGTGTACCTTTGCTGAGCAACAGCCCTTGCAGGAGCAAGCAGTCCAGTAGCTATGGAAGTCCCTTGAGCAGCAATGAATAACTAACCAGCAGTTGCTTTTGTGACCTTAAAGGCAGGTGCTAAACAGAAAAAAAGTCTTTTTTTTTCAGTGTGTGCCATTGGTAATCACACAGTTCTTTTCAGCACCGGTTTATTTAACTTTTGGCAGGTATTGATGCTTCAATTTCTCTCTTGAGTTGGAGGGGAGGCTTTGAGACAAAGCCAGCTAGCTTCCCAAATATCGGTCTTTCTAGTGCAGGGCACAGCCTTCTGCAAAAAGGAAGCAGGTGAACTGAAAAATAAACTTTTAAAGTCAACTGCTCCTTGGAATTATAGAAGAGTTAGCCGTGTGAGTCTGTGCAAGCCTTATAGCTGAGAACAAAAATGTAAAAAAAAACAAAAACAAAACCACAAACAAACCCACAAAAATTCCCACCACATTGTTGTCTCTTTTAAAACTTTTTATTTTGTTTTGTGATTTAGTATTTGCCTATAATACTGGATCACTGGAGGAATTAAGGCAGCTTGAACTGCTGGAGGCGGTAGCTGGGTTCAGGATTAGAGATGGGTACCTTCCGCTGGTTTGGCATGGTTCATTTATGGCCGAACAGCTGATCTGCTGTTCAGGCTCTCACCTGGGGGCAGCGCCCAACTTCCCTGCTCCTCCTCCTACTCTGGGAGCTGCCTCTGTGCGGGCACCTGCTGAATGGCGCGGGGACACTAACCGCAGAGCAGCTGGGTGGCCAATCAATGAAGTATTTCCGAACCAGCCATCGACACCCGTCTCTACTCGGTGTTACTGGCAGAATACAAAGTGGAAGGGTTCCATCTTGACACTGGTGTGGGGTGGTGGTCCTTTCCACCCCAGGCACAGAACTATCGGGGTGGGGGAGGGAGAGAGCAAAGCTCTTCCTTCCAGTACCAGTCCATACATGCAGTAGAATTGGCTCCGTTATTTCAGATTATAGGTTAAGGATATGACTTTTCAGGGCATCCCTCCACAGTTAAGGGAAGCCCCTGTAAATTAAAAAGCAAACAAGGTGCAAGAAGCAGAATTTTCCACATCAGCCCCTGGTCTGCAGAGTAACGTTTGTTTGCCCTGAGTTCTTCACGTAGAATAGACTTTAAATGTTCCCTCCTCAACCTCAGCTCTAAACTAAGGCAACCCAATTATTTTTTTTTCCTGAATAAATAATCTGTACTCGTGCAAAAGGAAGTCATAGTCACCAGACATTCTTCAGAAACATGCGGTTATTTTTTTTTCTGAATAATCTGTACTCATGCAAAAGGAAGTCATAGAGTGGTCGAAATGACTAGATAGGTGGTCCAGAAGGACGCTGCGGTTCATCTGTGACACCAAACCGTGGCTTCGTTGGGGAATAAATTCTGGGCTGTTGTGCCTCCAGGTCTTTTTTGCTTTAGATACTTCATGATCTGGCCAAGCCTCGGTTCTCTATTTCATCAAGATTACGTATTCTCTCTTTAAAATTCATTTACATTCCTTTCTTAAAAAATTGGCCCACATCATGTTCATGCTTTAAGAAACAAAAGTGTATTCTCTGAATAATATTGCTTAAATCTCATGCTTCCAAATCTGCTTACTTGATGATGCCTTCGTAAATGGTGCCTCCGTCTCATTTTCAGAGAGCCTTTTTTGGCCACAGCAATCTCTGAAGCCGCAGTTCTCCAGTAGGACTCCTGTACTCTTTTTAAAGAACGCCTACTCCCACCAAGATCTACCCGTGTCACTCGTGCGAGCCAGGAGGTGAGGCTGAGGAGCCTAACACCGAAGGAGGCCCGGAAGGAAAAGACAAGAAATCGGGCCTTCTCGGTGGTGGCTCCTCGCCTCTGGAACAACCTACCTCCTGAGATTCACGGGGCTTCCTTGCTGGGTATCTTTAAGAATCAACTAAAGACATGGATGTTTCGGCAGGCCTTTCCTCCAGACAATTCCTGATGTTTCTTTTCTTTCTTTTTCTTTTGCTTCTTCCACTCTATGTCTGGCTTTTATTATTTAAATTGTTTATATATTTTTATTGTACTTTTATGGTTGTTAGCCGCCTAGAGTGGTCCTGACCCGATCAGATAGGCAGGATATCAATAAAATAAATAAATAAATAAGATGGGGAAAGTATCGGTCAATAATCAGTTTTGTGAGTGAATCAAAGAGACTTTCAGCATATAACTCTGGCTTGCAGCTATGTTGAGGAACTTCTGAACTCTATATTTCCTAGGATGTTTTAGAAGAAGATTGTGTAATGTCTCTATTGGAAGAACTGTTCTAAGTCAGAACACCGCTGGTGGTTTTCTGACTTCTCCCTAAAATCTGGAGTTGTGGGTTGTTGGACTGGAAAGGATGTTGAAAATGTCTCTCTTTTTTGTTTTGTTTTGGTTCTGGAGTTCAGAATAAAGCAGGAAATGTTGGAGACTGGTTTGGCCTACAATTGTGTTTTTTTAATATTTGATATGTTTGTCCTTCTCAGGCAACAGCAGAACAAATTCGCCTTGCCCAGATGATCTACGATAAGAACGACGCAGACTTTGAGGATAAAGTGAAGCAGGCATGTTTCTTTCCTTGTGGGACAGAAGGTTGGGTTTCATGGCTTGATGGGATGGCGAGGTTATGACATATTGCAGCCACAGAACTGAGCTAAGAAGACATAGTTGCATCTGTTGCTTCTTAATTCCATGTTCCGTCTAGTCCATTTGCTTGCTGAACTTTGAACACTAGTTGTTTATTTCCCCTGCAAACCCCCCCCCCCCCAGTCATGAAGAAAATAATTTAAAATAAAATACAACTGCCTGGGGTTTTTGGAAAGCCAAATTTTGTGTTTGGCTTTGTGTGAACCGTGCTCTGAAAATAATAGGCAGCTGGTGACCTTCATTTTTCTTGTTGCTTTCTGCCCTTCTGTTGTTCTAGCCTTTTTGGAATTAAATTGGAGTCAAACATTGTACGTACCTTGGCTTTACCAAAGCCAGTGAGATATTCTTGCTTCTCCCCTTTCCCCTTCCCTCTCTACCAAATGTATTTTAGAGTTTGATTCAAGCTACAATGCTAACAAGAAAATTTTCAGCCCTGCACGCATATTATAGACACAGGAAATGTTTATCACTTCTGTAAAATGCTGTTGGCTCCTCATTTGCCTTCTGGTCAGTACTGTCCAGGGTTACTGTCAAATAAGCATGCCTATGATTAAACCCCCTAGATTTCTCAAAAGAAAGCGAATGACGTATGTATCTGTCAAGTCTGAGGATCGCTTGAAGGACATCAGTCCAAAAATTTGAAGATTCAAATGTTTCACTAAGAATTCTTGGAAAGCAAATGTTAAAACGAGGCAATGGAGCAAATATTAAAATGTGGAGAAGTTCTATGCCTGGCATGTCCCAAGCTGCAAGATTAGAAAACAAAGGCAAATCATTGTCTTCAAACTCTGAAAACATGCTGCCCACAGCAGGAAGAGTGTTTCAGGAGGCAGTGGATGGTTTTCTATCTCCAAAAAATATTTCTTAAAAAAAATCAACAAGCAGATGAAAAAGTAGAAGCAGAAGCAGCAGTTTTCTTGGGCTCTTTCCCCAGTATTTATAGCCTACTCACCAGTGCTTTCCAACCTTTTTGAATCATGATCCTCTCTTTTTAATAGCCAAGTGACCTAGAACACTGCGCTGGCACGTTTGCATAAGAAGGCATTTTTAATGGGGTAAAGTCATTCCTTCTCAGAAAACAGAGGCTTCCTTCTCCCCGCCCCCAAGGGCCTTTTCCTCATCCATCGATCCAACGTACAGTGGTGCCTCGCTTAGCGAGTGAATTTTCAGCCACATTAGGCAAGGCTCTGCTTCTCTCTCGTTTGACTTGCGCCCCCCCCCCATGTGTGGGGTTCTCTTGTGACCCAGAACCAAAAGGGGCTGAAAAGTACCAATGCTTGGAGGGAGACAAGAGTGCAATACCTTATTGGAAACTTTGCAATACACATACCTGATGACTTTAATTTCCTGCTCTGAAAGGTCAAGGAAGAATTTTTTTACAAGGGCTGCAACCGCATGTAAGGTGACCTAATACCCTCATTAGGATCACGACCCCCCAGGTTGGGAAATATTGCTTTACATTGTTTGAACTTCTCCTGCAGCTTCATCAGCTTTCCTTTAATGATCTTTGTGGGAATTTTATCTCAGTTAAGAGACAGAACAAAGACATTAATTATTCCTACGCTGTCTCTCTCTTTTCTTTATTTGGCCCATTTTCCCTTTTTTTCAGGTTGAAGAGTTTTACTACCCTTAAAAGTTCATCGCTAGTATCAAGTGAAACAAAAAAAGCTACTAATTAGCATAAATCTGTCATAACTTTTAATTAGGATGCCAACTTTGAGGAGATTTGGGGCTTTAGAAAACGTATTACTTGGAAGGAACTTAAAAACAAGATGAATTTAAAAAAAAAACTATGTCAGTCCTTTGAGCAGCCCCTAGCTAGTACCGAATGCCCCATTAGGTGCTATGAGGATACATCACTGAATAGAAAGAGGATGCTGAGCTGTAAAATTATATATCTATTAATGCAAAACTTTTAAAAGTTGTTGATTAACGATACCTTGTATTGTTTCATAACTAAGCAAATAAGCCCTTGTTTCAGTATTTTGAACTGGGGCTTTCTAGTGTGAGATGCTGCCGTTATTACCACGTTTCCAAACAAACGTGACCCACTACCCACCACCACAAGGGAGTATCTCTGTGCTCATTACAATCAAAGAGATACTTCTAGTTTTTAATTATTGTACAGTGCTGGGAAAGAAAAAAAACCCCGGACATTCAGCATCCCAAGGAAGTCCATCGTGATGTTTCAGCTCACGGGAAACCCAGGCTTTTTTTGTTCAGTCTTTTCCAATTTCACATTATCCTGAAGTAAAAAACAAATAATGCATCTGGCGCTTGTGCCTTTTGTATGGGCCTCTCATAGGCAGCTAGTTAGCCACTTTATGAATAAAAAAGTTGGACCAGATAAGGCTGTGTTCTGTTCCAGCATCCGCCTCCATAGTTCCGTATAAATGTCCCTAGTTCTTTTTGGTTCTATAGCTCCTTATTACTCTTCATAGTTCCATAAATCCAGCATTCTTCTTCTGTGTGTGCATGTGCGTGTTTGCGTGTGCGGCACGCGTGCGCACACATACACACACCCATTTACATTCACCTCTGTCCTTCTAGTTCATATTCTTGGTTCCTGCTTAAACTCCTAAAGGTTAACCAAATCGTTCTAACAAGCATCTTTTCTTTCATGTATTTTTCTAACAAGCTTCTTGTATTTCATGTGTTTTTTTAGCTTATGGAAGTGACTGGGAAGAATCAGGATGACTGCATAGTGGCTCTACACGACTGTAACGGGGACGTGAACAGAGCGATCAATATCTTGCTGGAAGGAAGCTCAGACACAGTAAGGATGCAAATTTGCCCCCTGGCTAAAATCCTCAAAAGATGTCTTGTTTGGAGATGTGGTATATGATACTTCCTTCTTTTTTTTAAAAAAAAAAAGTATCTTTGGCCAAGGCAAGAAAAACATGCAGATTCCTACATAGTGCTTCTGGGGAGCCAGGCCTGTCAGTCAACTCTCATCTGTCTCATCTGCAAGAAAGGCACTAATCCTCGTGGGCCTCTTCCTGCCTAGGATTGATGTGAGAGCTGCTCTTGAGTGCCATTAATTGCATCATATACAGTACATTCTAGCAGCTGAATTCTGCAGAGATGCATTTTACTCTGTGGTTATTCTAGGGCAGCCTTCTTCAGCTTAGTACCCTCCAAATGTTTTGATTTCCCTTTGTCCCTAACCATTGAAGATGCTGGCAGGGCTGATGAGAAGTATAATAAATAAATAAATAAATCCCGAGAACACATAATTGAGGAAGGCCTATTCCAGAGTGTCAAGCATTGGAAGGGGTTTCAGGGGAATGCTGCCGAAATCAGGGTCACTCCTGATTTCTGATGCACTTTCCTTCAAAGAAACCTGATACCATTGCTTGCTTTTGGGGACCCTGAAGTCTCAAAGGCTCAATGGAATAAATTGTAGATCTCCTGTAGAGTGAACTAGCTCAGAATCTATTAGTTTATGTGCCCCTTAGAGGTGGCCTAGATTTGTTTACCTGGGATTGAGCCGTTTGTAATGTGAGAACTATCCTACCTCTGTCCTGCAAGGGATGGATTGAGGTATTTCAGAAGAGCTTAATTGCTCCAGCATAACATTGTCCTTCCCTTAAAAATATGTAAATTTTTTAAATTAAAAAAAAAGTGTGGATTTTTTTTTCTAATAAACTGCAATTTCACTAATTCTCGTAATTCTGATTTTGCTCATCAAGAGAGCAGGGCAGGATGTGATGCAGGATGATGAGGCTGTTCTCCCACCCCCCACCCCCAAATTCTTATTCTTTTATTTTTCTATCCCTCTTTTGGAATGCTGATACAAGAGGAATAAACCCACAAGGGAGCCGCACTCTTTCACCCTCTTCTTTTTGGCTGCTTCGCTCATGTGTCCAAAAGAGTCCGAAGAGAAATGGTTCTCGGAGGCAGTGTCCCCGTGAGCAAGAACAGTGAAAAACCTCCTCAGACATTTAGCGTGAATTGTTTTCTGAGGTTGTCCGGTTGCCCTCTCTGTAGCTTCAAGCATCTATTGGCAGCTGCAGGAATTTGGTCTTCCAACAAAAGAGAGAAGAAATTATGTTCTTTTCTGGGAGGCTGAATGTTCTATTCAATGGGTTATAGATTCCCTTCTGTACATTTTCCCACATTTCTGAAGATAGAACTGGAACAATCATTTCCCTGACCCTTAAGGTCCAAAGATGGGCAGGTCTCTGAATGATTTCTTAGTATGAATCCAGCCCGGTTGCTGTCCTTTTATGAGGGACAAAAATGCCATTTTTAAACCTGGATCTGGAGTCCGATATCGGATAGCAGAGACGTATACTGGATGAATTGTTGGTTGCAGCTCCTGTTCCAATGGGTAGGTGAAGTGAGATTATAGACACACTTCAGGACAGGAACCCTCCTAAACTCATTGGTGCAGTGAGACACGAAGCTTATGATCTCCCTCGTGTTTCTTCTTTGACTACCCCGTGAGCCGCATTCAAGCGCTTCCCCTTTCTCCGGAACCCTGTGGAGGCCCAAGTTTGAGGCTTTTGTGGGGTTCAGCAAGAGTTCTTTTGGGTGCAGGTTTGCGACAGAGTTCAAAGTGGCTGTTGGGTAGAATTGGCCGCACTGGAGATCAAATCAAGTTAGCTGAACTGATATCTGCTAGAATCAAATAATCAAGTATGGTTCTGTTTTTCTTCACAAGTGTTTGCTGTTACGATTCATGCCTGGCTTTTTAAGCCTCTCTGTTTTGGACAGAATAATCTGAATTAAGAACCCTGCCCATACCCTCCAGATATTTAAATTAGGGAAGCCAAGTAGACGTGTGTGCATTAAATGGTTTGCATGTTACTAACATGGACCATTGTCTTTCTCAAAGAAAGATCAGCCGGCCCCAAGTGGATAGAAATGTCTTTTTATGCCTCTTCCACTGCATTGTCGACCTACTTGGCTTGCCCCCTCCCTTCAAGAAACAGCTGGACCCCGTCTCCTTCCTTTCGTAGATCACTTGTCAGTGTCTGCTTAGGTCACAACTCTTGCACGGATGGCACACGGTTGTATTAGTCTAAACATGTTCTCCGTACTAGAATGTGCACATGAAACTCCTGGTCAACACTTCTGCATGTGAATCTAGGAGGCAACATTCTCCACTTCCGCATAAAACAAGGGTCAGTGGAGAATAACCACCGTGGTTCTAAAACTATGGTTTTGTACTGCATTCAGTAACGTCTTAAGGAGGCCAATGACGATTTACGAAGCAGTTCTAGAGTTAGTTATAAGGATATGTCAGATTTTGTTCTGTGTTTGCTTTGGTGGTCGCCATAGGCCAGCAGATATCTGTCGATAAAACTGACATAATACTTGCCTTCATTTGATCATAGAAAGAAAACAATGGGCAAATCTGCATGCAAGATTCATTATACAGTATCATTAACTCTGTGCCTTTTCCCCCTTTTTAAAAGGAATAAGCTGTCAGAGGGTCTCAGTAAGGATCAGAATTAGAGATGGGCATGGACCACGGTTTGGTCCAGTTCTGTAGCTGCCACGCATTTCCCTCCCTCCCTTGCTCTGGGCGATCCTCCGCTTGCCTCCGGCAGCCCGTGTTTGCCTTTCCCGGTGAGCCACCCACTCCGATGAGGAGGTGGGAGACAAGGGAGCCGTGGCACTGCCTTTGAGTGGGCGATTGCCTGGAAAAGGCAGGGGGTGGAAGCTGCTGGTGAGTGGGTGATCGCCCAGAGGGAGGTGGGGGAGGGCACCATGCAGGGCCCGCAGAACAACACCTGGGCAAATACGGTGCCGAACCAGGCTGACCTGCCAAACCCCACCGTTCGTGTGCCCGTCTCTAATCAAGAATCACAGGGAGGGTGGTTTGTTGTTTTTTTTTTTTAAAGATGGATTTGATTTCAATAATGATTTTAAAAATTTAAAAACCAGATATTTGACGATTTAAATTTTTTTAAAAAAAATCAGTTTTAAAGTTTAAATTGTAATTTAAATCAATTTTTAAAAAACCATTAATTTTCAACCACCCTGGTGTTTTTATTGCCAGCCATATTGTGGTGTTTTTCTCCCCCACCCCCACCCCAGCTGCCGCAGCTGCTGCACAATGAAGGAAGGAAGCTTGTTGAATGAAATACCAGCTTGGAGGAGGTTTTTCATTAGGCCTGTGTCAGGGAC